CGCTCCGCGTGCCCGGGATCCTCGGAGTCGCCGCGCAGCCCCTCGGCGGAGGGTGATGCTGCAGCCGCCGCCGCCCTGTGCATTGTGGGAGCGGGAGGAGGCTGCTCCAGCGCGGTCACCGCGGCTGCTCCGGGCTCTCTCGAGCTCACGCTGCCTCCCATCGGCTGTGGGCTCCGAGCATCAGCAGCGGGCCAGTCCGCGCTGCCCTTGGACACCCCCCGGCGGCACAACGCCCCGGGGGCGTGTCGCACCCCGGACGCCCCCTACCCGAAGTGAGCCCTGGCCAGTGCAGAATAGACCAGGCCCCCGAGAGGGGTGGCGGTAGCTGGTGTCACTGAGGGTGTCCAGGTAAACGACTCAGAGTCTCCAGACTACTTCTCCTGTTCTAACAAGCATTTCTAGGTAAAGGATTTGGAGGGAGACTTCTTGGAAGGTCATCGAATAACCCAGAATTCCAGAAAAGCCTTGTGTGCAGCAGACGTCTGGGAGTGAGTGAGAACCAGGAATCTGAGAGGCTCACCAAGGTCATCTGGAACACCTCGGCCTCTGCAGCAGGGTCGTTTCGTCATGTCAGAGCTTAGTGGCCTGTTTGAAACGACAGAAACTTAAATGAGCCTTGAAACGAGATGGCCCCAGGGGGCAGACCCAGGAGCCTACCTTGATCCTAGGCCTGTGTGTTTATAGAGGTGCCACCACCCTCTTGCCCAGCCTTCTTCCTAGTCCCGTTCTCCAGTGATCATTCACATCATATATAATCATGCTGAAGCTGATCTGGATGCCACCTGAGGACTTTCGTGGAGGGTCTACACCTGCAATGTAGCTCTGTATTGAAAGGTCGAAGAAATCTCAGAAGCAGCATTCAATCTACTCAGTATTATCCTTGCACATCAGACAATGAGAATGCGGTCTTTGCTCTCCCACCCCCATGCGTTCTTCGCCCTCTGCCTCCTTCCCATCCACACCTTCATTCCTGGTTGGTCATTCTCCCTATTTTTTCATCCCAGCTTCTTTTTAGTGTGCTCATCTTTCTTATTTTAACTCTAAGAGGTGCCCCGTGCCGGTCATGGAAATCTGGTATGGTTTTTATCAAGACCATCACTTGAGGTTGGAGCCCTTGATTGTGTGTGTCCTGCATGTGTGTTTGAAGGAGGACCATTGACCAAGGGGGACACTTGGGGCCCATCCTCATTCCCTGGAACTCTCCTCCCCTTGCTCACTGCCCACAGTCTCTTCAGAGATGCCAGAGGTAAAGGCTACAGAGTACAAAGTCCTGCAGAATTCACTGTGTTCCTTCTAATTCTAATACCAAATCCGTTTCATGTTTTGGCAGCCCACTCTTATTGCCCAGACACAAAAATAGAAAACATATGCAATTATGACCAGTATAACAGAAAGGGCACTGGGTTGAAATTTAAGAGGCCTGAATTCTACTCCTTGCAGTTCCTTCATGCCCTGTGTAAGTGCTCACAACCACTCTTGGTTTTTTGCCCTTGAGAAAATGCCTACCACCCAGAACTGTTGAGAAATGCTTAGTGTGCTGATGATGAAGGAGTTCAGGGCACGTTCTCCCAGGGTATGCTGCTTGGACATATTGATGATTTCAAGGGGCACTTGAAAAACAGCAAATATAGAAAAAACACTCTGACCGTCCTCCTTTTTCTTAAAAGCAGAAGATGAAATTCCTATAAGATATCCTCCCTATAACAAAATGAAAGTAACATTTTTATCAAGGACAAGAAGTAGAGACTAAGCAAATTCTATACAAACAGAACCTTGTTAGAATAATTTTTATCTTCCTTTAGCCCTACCCACAGTTTAGTCACTTTTTCACAATTGCTTCTCTTTGTTGAACCTAACATAAAAGCAAGCAGGTTTTGCCATTTCTTTGGGTTTTCATCTCCTTATGAAGGCTCCTGTGTCACATAAAACAATATAAATTTGTATGCCTCTTTCCTGTTAATCTGTCTTTGTCAGTTTAATTTCCAGACACTGCCAGAGACCCCACGAGACCTGAGGAAAACTTTCTTCCACTACACTGAGAGAACACTAAAAAACTGAAAGGGCCTTATAAATTTGAGTGTTTTGGTTTTGTTTCGTTTTTTAAATGACAGGGAGAAAAAAGAAATGAGAATTATTCTCTTTTAATTCCTGAACACATGCATTCAACCACAGCCATATCTGGGGACACTACTCAGAGGAAGGTAGTAGGGATGAGGAAGAGAATGGTTTTCTACCCTTGACTTTACTTCACATCATTCAGAAGAAGAGTAGATTTACAAGGCAGAAGAAGCAAGGAACACTGATGGCTGTCTTCCCCTATCTTATCCATGTACATTCACAGTCCCAAGCACTTTGTCATTAGTCGACCAGCAATAAACCAGCAATAGTAATAACTTCTGAGGGTTTAGGATATCCCCCTCCCAAAGAAGAGCCCCAGGACATTGTAGACTTTATTTTAAATTGATAAAGTTCTCAATTATTGCTTTATAATTGGGAATGTTTTCACATAGATCATTTTCAAATAAAAACAATGTCTAAGTTAATGTGAAAAATCCTTCTCTTCCAAAATATTCGTGGATGACTTTGTTTCAACAAATACTGAGAGCCACGATGTACCAGAAACTGTTCTACATGCTCAGGGTTCATGAGTGAACAAAACACATAAAATCCCTGACCCCATGGAGCTTACATTCTGATTAGGGAGACAGACAATTAGAAAGGTAGACGGTGAAAGTGATTAAGTGCATTAGTTTGCTAGGGCTGAGGTAATAAAGTGCCACAAACTGGGTGGCATAACAGTAACATGCTGTATGATCTGGAGGCTAAAAGTCCCAGACCAAGGTGCCTGCAGAATTGGCGCCTTCTGGGAGCTGGAAGGGAGAATCTGTTCCATCCTTCTCTCGTACATCCCAGTGGTTTGCTAGCAATCTTTGGCATTCAGTGGCTTCTGTTTCATCACCCTGATCTCTGTCTTCACCTTCGCATGGTGTTCTCCCTGTGTGCATGCATGTCTCTGGGTCCAAATTTCTCCTTTTCATAAGGACAGAGTCATGTTGGATTGGGGCCCATCATAATGACCTCATCTTAACTTGATCATCTGCAAAGACCATATTTCCAAATAAGATCTCATTCACAGATACTGGCAGTTAGGACTTGAACATCTTTTTGGCGGGGACACAATTCAACCCATGGCAAAAAAAAAAAAAAACTAAACAGAAAAGATAGAATGTGGAGCAACCAGCAATTGTAGCAGGGTGGTCATTGCTTTATTCAAATTTTAAAAAACAGTTTTATTGAGGGCCTATTATATCCCAGCAGTTAAGATAATAAAGATAGAGATTCATGAAATAGGGTCCCTGGCCTGGGGGAACTAGCTCACTGCAACAGGTAGCCTCAGGGGTAGGGGAAACGGAAGTTTATGTTGCATGGTCATATAAAGTAGTAATTCTAATTCTGTAAGATCAGTCCAAATTCTAGAGGCAGAGGCAAAGTACTGTGTTACTGATTATAGTTCATTAGTTGGCATTTACATATCATAATATTTAATGTTTCAGAGGACTTGGCACTGGGCATAGGTGACATTTGAGTGAGCAGGGAAGAATCCCAAATAGATAATTGAAAGACCCAAATGGTAATGTGGATGCGAGGTCACTTCTGATTGAGAGATATGTAAAGGAACAGTGAGGGAACTAGGCTCAGAAGCAGGAAAAACAAAGTTAAGAATAGAGCAAGACTAACCTGAAAGAATTTTAGACAATAGAAGGCTGGCATGAGGAACTCCCAGCTCCTCCACCCCTTCTCTGACCCACTCCAGCCAATTATCCTAGCTTCCTCTCATCTGTGAGCTTAGGCCTAGCTGTACCTTATGGCTCCCCAGGCAAAAAGAGTAAAAAGCACATTACTTAACTCAAAAGGTATGATTATTTTTATTCCTGTACATATTACCCTAATTCTAGATTCTGACCTAGTGTTTCCTAAAATATCTGATCTCTGGCCCTTTGTTCCCAGTTTTCTAGCCTGCGTGCTGACCACCTGCTATTTGACTAGCCTTTGTACCTCTATGCCTCGTTCCATGGTACCTGATTCCTTCTATCAGCTGATTATTCTGGATCTTTAAATACTTTCGGCCCAAATCCATAACACTCGCCTGCTTTGTATTGCCTTGATCCTCCTGAATTACTTGATTTTAAGTATGGACTTACTAGTCACTCTCATCTTGTACTTCCAACAACCAGACACATACCTGCCTTCCATGTGCTTGTAGCGGAAGCTCTGCAGTAGTGAAAATGACTTAGGTTCAGATGACCTAAATTCTAGTCCCAGTTCTAACCGGAGGCAAGCCACCTAGTCAACGTGAGCCTTTATATATATGTGTATGTGTATGTATATATATACATACATACATATATATATAAACTTAAAAAAATAATTTTAGAACAGGTTTAGATTTATAGAAAAATTACAAAGGTACTACAGAGTTCCCATATACCCCATGCAAGAAACTGAATGTTCACCACCTCCCCCCATTCATGTCGAACCCCTAATCTCCAGGTGATAGTAGTAGAAAGTGGGGCCTCCGAGAGGTGATGAAGTCATGATGGGGGAGCTCCCATGAACGGCATTAGTGCGCTTATAAAAGAGGCTCTAGAAGGCTCCCTCACCCCTTCCACTACCTGAGGCTATAGTGAAAAGACAGTCATCTAAGAGTAAGCCAGCTCTTACCAGACACCACATCTGCTGGCACCTTGATCTTGGATTCCCAGCCTCCAGAACTGAGACATAAACTGGTGTTGTTTATCAGCCACCCAGCCTATAATGGTATTTCGTTATAGCAGTCCAAACAGATTAACACACCCTACAGCCAGTTTGCCTTATTATTAACAACTTACATTAGTATGGTACATTTGTTAGAATTAATGAACCACTGTTTATATGTTAACACTAACTAAAGCCCATAGTTTATTCGGATTTCCGAAGTTTTTACCTTATGTCCTTTTCGTTCCAGGATTCTATCCAAGATACGACATTACATTTAGTTGTCATGTCTCATTCGGATCTTCTTGGCTGACAATTTCCTTCTTTCCTTGTTTTCGATGACAATTTTGAGTAGTACTGGTCAAGTATTTTTAGAATGTCCCTCAGTTAGGATTTGTCTTGATTAGACTGGAGTTATAGGTTTTTGTGAGGAAGACCACAGAGGTAAAGCGGCATTTTTATCACATCACATCGAGGGGCATACTATCAACATGCCATCACTGTGGATATTCACCTTGATCATTGGCTCAGGTAGTGCTTATCAAGTTTCTCCATTGTAGTTATTCTTTTGCCCCTGTAATAGGCTGAATTGTGTCCCCTCAAAATTCATAAGTTGAAGTCCTCACCCCTATTAACTCAGAATGTGACTGTATTTTGAGTCTTTAAAAAGGCAATTAAGTTAAAATGAGGTCAATTGCACCTTAATAAACCATGCCTGATGTCCTTAGAAGAGGAGATTAAGACACAGACATGTACAGAGGGAAGACCATGTGAAGACAGGGAGCAGATGGCCAACTGCAAGCTAACGGAAGAGGCCTCAGAAGAAACCAAACTTGCCAACATCTTGATCCTGAATGTCTAGCCTCCAGAAATGTGAAAGTAAATTTATGTTATTTAAACCATCTAGTTCTGTTGTACTTTATGGCAGCCCTGGCCAACTAATACAGGACCCTTTCCATATTCTTTTGAATGAAGTCACTGTATGCAGCCCACATTGAAGGGGTAGGGAGTTATATTTTACCTCCTTGAGAACAGACTACCTACATAATGTAGAATTCTTGTATATGGGCAATTTGTCTTAATGCCCCTCATTTATTCATTCAATCATTTATTTATGTAAGTATAGACTCATAAGTATTCATTTTATACTTTTGGTTATAATCTGGTAGTACCTTGTTGTGTTGCTCAAATTGTTCTTGCTTCGGTGACTGGGAGCTCTTTCAGTTGGTTCCTGTGTCCTTTCGACATACACCCCATCATTGTGGGAGGGTTTTTTTTTCCTTTTTTTTTTGGAGCACTTCCTTACTTTCTAGCGCTGCAAGATGCTACAGGCTCATCTTATATATTTCCTCTACGGTCTTAGAATCTAGCCATTTCTCCAAGGAAAAATGGTTCCTTTCATTGGAGAGTTGGATTAGAAACTAAGATCTGGGCTTCATTGCTCTTGGGGTATTGTTGCTTCTAGGCCTTCTTAACCATAGAGCAAATGTATACATACCTATATATATTTCTATATGTAGAAACCTGTATTAAGCTAAACGTTAGTTCACATTAATGTCTCCAACTCTAATCCATCACCACAAAAATCATTCTAGCCTCCTCCCCTGGCTTATCCATAAATTCTCCAACAGTGAGAAACCTGTGCCTATCTTTCTTTTCAATCAGCAAAACCAGAACAATTTATGTGTCTATTGTTGTTGAGGGGTTCAAATGAAACAAATGGGAAAGTGTATTGGCAACTGGACTGGACTGTACAATTTTAGGATATTATTATTATTTTAAATTAATTAATTTTTTTATGATGACATTGGTTAATGAAATCCAGTAAGTTTTAGCAGTTGGAGCTATATAGGAAGATATGGTATCTGTCAAATTTGTTTACCTGTCCTCTTTTCTGTGCTTTAGGAAAATTTCTGTATTAGTCCTGCCTCCTGAAAGAAAAAGCAGGATTCAAATTCTCACCTCTTTTGCAGCTTGGATACAGTCACATGACCTACTTTAATAGATTCATCTGCACAAGTCTTATGATATGTAGGATACAAGAAATAGGCTCTACCCAGAATCCCCATTTGTCAATGGTGGCAGCAGAGGTGGCCAATTTGGGGACAACAATGGTTAGTTACATCAAAGTTGGGCTCCTGGCTTTCAATGTTTGGTGGCGGTGGTAGTGGCAATAGCAGCAGCACTTTCCATATTAGTCCATTGCTGTAGCATGTTTCTGGGATTTGTCCTGAAAGATTTATATCGACTATTTCTCTAGCATTCCAACAATTTTCTGTGATCTGACTCAAGGAGCCAGAGTTGTGAATTTGTGATTGAGAACCCTGACCGTGAGAGAGTGGTGTAACAGGGGTGAATGGGAATGGCTACACTCTCAAAGGTGTATGTCTTTCAGAAAACACTACTGGTACTTTCTATGGCCAGGCACTGTGCTAAGTGCTAGAGCAAAATCGTAAGATACCTTTCATGGAAAGGAAGATAACTGAATGAAGGGAATTAGAATGCATTGTGATTAAGTGCTAAAAGTATTATGTGGAAATGATTATTGTGTCTTGGAGGATGGAACAGTTTACACATGGGGGAGGAGAATATTAAGTTTTCACAAAGGTATGTTTGAAATAAGTTCTAAAACATAAGAGTGTATTAACAGACATCCCAACTAAGACAAGATGAGCGCAGATTGGGGAAAGATATTTATGATGCATATAACTATTCACATTTTTTTTTTTTTGAATAAAGAACTTCCACTTCTTTTAGGAGACTTGACATAAGACAAAGGCAAAAAGCAATGGTTGCCTTACATAGAATCTAGACAATAATGAATTCAGTCAGTTCAGGAGTGCAGCAAGTCCCAAGATGACGGCTGTTTTTTAGGATAAGGGAGCAACAAGTTCAGAATGAAGGAAGAAGTGGCCTCCAGGGGAGAGTCTTCTGAAGCGAAAGGAAGAATTCATAGAATATTTGATATGATGGAAGACCAAATAATAGTGGCTATGATAGAGACCAAAAGTATAAAGGGAAAAAATAGAAACACCAAAAAAAAAAAAAAAAAACCAACCCTCAAAAGTTATGTAAGGAATTGTAATCATAGCATAAATTGTGATCTTCAGTGAATATCTATCGACCTATAAAGTACTATTAACGATTATAAAATAGAATGTAAATATTAACCTTGATAATGTAAACAGATGACAAAAATTGAGAGGAGGGGAGTCAGAAGGATAGGTGTTAATATTGTCATCTTAACAGTACGCAGTTAAGAAATACTGTTGACAGCCAATAAAATAAGAAATAAAGGTGAAAATACATTATTTGACATTATAAAGAAACACTATAAAGGAATCAAAATTAGTGATATTATGATCCTAGAAGTTTCTGAGGGAGGAAGGTAGGAAGTGTTATAAGCTAAATCTTCATCTATCATTCTCCAAAACCAGTACTTTATGCCTAAAATGAAGAAATTGAGAAACAGTGGTATGAACATATTGAGAGTTATGGAGGCAACTATCGGAAAAAAGAAAACACTAAACAGCTTGACTATTTCAAGTTCTCCCTCTAGAAAGGTAAACCAGTAGTAGAGGTCTATTTTGTGATTCTTAGCTTTTCACTGTCTTCCTACACTATACCTGAGTTCAGAATCACATTCAAGTATGATTTTAATTTTCTAAAAAGCTGAAAGGAGCAGGGTCTAACAATTTTATAGAAGCAACTTTTGGTTCTATCATTCTTTCCCACATATTTACCTTATGACTGATACCCCGCTTGATGGCATTTGTTCCATTCAGTTCTCTTGAAAATGACCTCACCACCTGCTTTTTCATGTACGAGACTAAGGTCATTCAGTGAGCACTCTCCTCTAGTGCCTCTGGTCATTCATCCTGACTCTGTGGAAGGCATGTCAAAGCTGATCTCTTCACGCATGCTCTTGATCCCAGTGCTTGCCTTCTTGCCTCCTCTACATCGTTTTTCTTTATTTTTTGTTTTGCCTATAACCATACTCCAATCTTTCCCCATTTAAAAGCGAAACCAAAAACTTTACCTTTTCATGTACATCAGAATCTCTCAAAAAAACATGCTCACTACTAATGCATCTTCAGTCATTTATCACCCCCCTTCTTTCTCTGCCACATATGCCTTCATTGAAATTGCTCTCTCCAAATGATGAGTGATATCAATTTCCATATCTGCTGGCATTTTCCCACTCTTCTCACTGCTCTGCTACACTCCACACTGCAGACCATCTTCTTATTGAAATGTATTCCTCCCTCTGCTTCTGACTCCTGTAGAACAGATCTCTCATGGGAATGTGAATATATTGTGATCAGCTAGCCATACTGTAATAGAATACATCCAGGAGTTACAATATGTGAAACAAATATAATGAATAGAACTTTAAAGTGTACATATAAACCTGTCAGAAAATAAACTTGGTAAGAATACAATATGTGACCATCTTAATTACTCCAGCTGGCAACACGAGCCATACATCTAATTCATATACAGGTATTCAAGACAGATGTCTTACAAGCAGTACAACTGTCTGCCAATTAAAAAGAACTAATATTTTACTTATCTTTCAGCAAGTACATTCATAGTGATTGCGGCTTCTCATAATACTGATAGTGAAGTGGCTGAGAATTGAGTAGGATATGAAAAGTTTGTGTTCTATAACAAGTGTGGCCTGGCGGAAAGTTGCCCAGTGGTGTTTGATTCTGACCTTTATCCTTGTTAAAATATGGCTGCTCTACACTGATCATTTCTGCAGTAATTCAAACAAATAGCAACTTCCATTTATAAACAAAGTCATTAGAAAAATTAGCTTGTAAAGAAGAAGAAAAGCAAGAGCTTACAATACATTGATCAGCCTAAGTTATTGGTAAAGGAGCAGTAAAGAAACTTAGAAATCAGATGCAGAATGCATGCAAGTTTATGATCACAAGAAAGAGTAGAGAAGCAGTGAATAGTTAATACATCTTCACCATGGACAATCAGGTATAACAATTTCAGCTGATGTGAGGTTTGCAAGAGCAAAGCTCTTTGACCACTTTCTCAAAGAAACACTGAGTATACAGGCATCCTTCACTGACATGGCTGAGACCGAGAATTGAGCATCCTCTCTGCATCCATGTCCTTAAACTTACTTTTCCAACCTAGTATTCTATTTTATTCTACAAGTATTTGAGTACCTATAAGCTGTTTCTAGATGCTAAGGATACAATAAAGAATTCAACCTCTGGCTAAGGAAGTTAAAAGTTGACCTGAGATCAGAATGAAAAGGAGCCCGCCAACCTATGAACCAGGGAGTGTTTGATGGAAAACGAGTGTTGAACAGGAATAGGAATGAGCTTAGAACATTTTAAGAGGTTATATATCAAGAATGGAAGTAGGGTGGTGTAAAGGGATTGGTAGCATGAACAAGGAAGCAAGAGTGGAAAGTGATGTGTTAGGAACTACAGCAGTTATCCAGGTAAGAAATATTAGTGGCTTGGGGTATGGTGCCAGCAGTGGCAAGAAATGAACTAATTAACTAGATTTTGGTGGACGTTGGTCGCAGCCTCTGAGCAATCAAGAATCACTCCAAGATTGGTCTGAGTACTTCAGATGAAGGCTGGTGGAGGAAAGGGCAATGTTAGGGAGAAAAATCAAGAGTTCCTTCACATGTCATGTTCTCCAAACATCCTTACACATGTCCACATTTTCCCACCTCCTTGTCTATTTGAAAATAACATTTCCTCTACCTAAAATGGTCGTCTTCCTCCCTTTTCCCCAACCCATTTCTTAGTCAACTCTAAAACTTTTCCGATCTATTACTCATCCCATTTATCCAAGTTGAATAACTCATTTTATACCTCTTAAGAAATGTAATACTTTTGTCGATAGCCATGCTACCCTGAACAAGCCAGATCTCGTCTGATCTCAGAAGCTAAGCAGGGTCGGGCCTGGTTAGTACTTGGATGGGAGACTATCGAAGGAAGACCAGGTGCTGTAGGTGCAGAAAATAAAACACTGACAAGGTCCTTGCAATCTGAGGTCAAGCAAGGGTTGCCTCACCTAAAAAAAAAGAAATGTAATGCTTTTTACCCTGCATTAAATTTTATGTAATATATTATATTTCTCAGAATGTAAGCTGTCTTATTTACCTGACAGTATTGTACTAGTATTTTATCATGACATGAAGACTCACAATCTGTAAACATTTAATGTTACCTTAATCACAAAGCCTTTACAAATATAAACATTAACAGCTAGATCTCATTAAAACAAAACCGAAGACTACAAAAGTCAAATTCTTTCTGTATATAGGAGCCTAAATCTAAAAAAGATCAACTTCAGAAATCTTCTGAAAAACAATATATTTAAATGACACAAAAACTACAAATTTAATCAATAGAAAGTAAGTAGATCAATTTATTTTTCTGTATATTTCACAAGTATAATTTTGGAAGGGCTATTTGACAAATTTCAGCATTAACTTGCCGACACTATAGACATGTTCAACAAAAAAGGCATTAAACTCTTGGCCCTTTTAGTACAGGCAAAGTGTCCTATTGCATTACAAATGATATGCAATAACAGATTTGAGGGCATATTAAAGGAATTAGATGTTTTCTTTCAAATGCTTTTTAGTTAATAACATAATACAAACATACATTAATGGTTATGACCACCAGTGATTTGTAGAATAAAACCCATAGATCTACCTACTTAAAAGGCTGAAACTAGCAAGTTATTAAAATCAGTTTTCATTCTTAAGATTAACAATCCCGGAATGAGATTTATCTCAACTTTATAAGGTGTGGTGGGGAAGATTGGCAGTGTGTATGCTGAGTTCCAAAGTTGGGACAGTAGCTCAAAATAGTCATTATCCAGATTAGGATAGTGTTCTAGAAATCTAAAAATGTGTCTTTAATTGTAATCTACTGGGAAGGATATTAAGGACAGATAGATAATTCATCAGCCCCAAACATCATTTAATGAAAGCCATTAGGAAGCTTAAGAAAGCTGGGATGGGGGATGAAGTAAAATGAGGTGAATTAGGAAAATGAAGAGTAGAAATGTGTTTGAATGTTGGGGAATGTGAAAAGGCCACCAGAGAAACTTCTTTGCCACTCGGATGTGCTCTTCCTATAGGCTACCTGCCCCTGGATCACCAAATACCAAGTTTAGAGCACAATTTAAGTGGAGATTACATTTCAGCTTTAATAAAACTTCACTATTTGGCTTGAGAAAGAATATATGTCTGATTTTGTAAAAAGGATCAATAAATATATTAGAGGTATAGTTTTGTTACATCAAGTAAAAAGAGCTGCTAATTCCAATTGAAGTACTAACAAGTAGAGGCCTTACTAGGCCTCCTTTGATGAATAGTTAAGACTTATTTTTAGGTCAGCAGCACAAGAGGATTGAATAACTTGTAAATAGACTGAAAACATGCTCTTTCCAATCCATCAAAACAATCCAACAATCCTTACTATCCCAACGTGCCAAGAACTACATTTTATTCAGTTGTAACTTTCAAAACTGAAATGTTTCTCAAAACTGTACTTACAAGTAGGAGCTACTAGACATGAAATGGGTAATTTATTTCAGACATTAATCAATTTTCATGAAGAATTCGTTCTCTCCAACTTCGGTTTATTTCAGCACTAATTTATAACAAACAGGACAATGATTATAATTAGCCATTTCTCAAACTACAACTCTGAAATCATAGAAATGGACAATTATGATTAATCTCATCTAATCAAAATCTTCATTTGAGTAATGGCGAAACAGCCTGCAAATATGTCTTCAATAAACTGAGCTTTGAGGCAGAACAAAAAATAGAAAAATTTAAAACCTCTCTATCCCAAGCACCAATAATGGAGGCTAAGCGATTATACCTACAAATCCTTAATGACAGGTCTTTCCTAATGGAAAATCCTGAGATTTTAAGCACTGTGACTTTACAGAAGGCAGGTTGGTTTAATGAGGAAATTTACCTTTAATAAAAAGACAATCAACAATATTTTATTTTGGGCACTTACTCAGTATTTCACAGATCCTCAACAAGTTTTGAGGTAGGTTAAATATTATCATTGTATTTCACAAACTAAAACTCAGGCAGAAGTTACATCACTTTTCGAAAACCACAGGAAGAGTCCTAACAGGGTCAAGAATAACATGGTCTTTCAGATTAATCTTCTCTGATGTGTAGATTTAATAGTGATCGCTTGCAACTATTCATTACAAAAGACTAGATATTACAGAAATTCTACTTTGGGGTATTTTATAATTCTTAAATCCTACAATGATTACACATATTCTAGAATAAACTACTTGCTCCCATCACGAATATAACTATATAACTGATTCTTATAATTACAAATTAGCACATTACTGATTTTGTTGCTGTTCTGCTTTCTGGGGTAGGTGGAGCAGAAAGATAACCAGCAAGCTTTCCTCAGAGTGTTAGGTAGTCTTTAAGTGCAGGTGCTATTGCTCAAGGCACCATCCATGATGATTTGGGGGTCACAGGAAAGCAAGTATACAAATGGAGCCAAGATCAAGAAAAGATGCTCGGATCCAAAAAGGGAGGCCCTGTGCAAGTCAAAGATGAAGAGAAAAATAGTATCATCTCAGATTACTGATCCTCATTATCATGCTATAGCATTACAACTTATGGGAAGAACGCTTAAAGAGCAGTAAATTTGTCCCAATAAAGTGTGTTAAAGTTATTACTAAAAAACAGGTAAAATTAAATTGCTATTTTATTAAAGCGACATGTATAGAAGCAAAATATCTAAGTTTTTAATATGAATATGTTCCACCTATCATGTAAATTACTCTAATTGTTACAAGCCTAATTCACTTAGCTCATCATAATTACTTAAAATTATTTACTAGAATCCAGCTCTTCCTGACATAGGTTCCTGGGCCAGTCTTCTCAAGTATTTGTTTCATTATAAAGTTCCTTTTATTTAAACAATTGTTAAATATTAGTAATACAGGATTAAGAATGGTTAAGTAACTGGGCAATTATAAGGAAAGCATCATTAATGTGTTATAAAATACAGCACAGCAAATTTCAAGAGTAAAGATAGACATCTATGCTTTTGAATAGACTGAAAAGCACAGCCCAATATGATCTGAGTTAAAGCAAACAAACAAACAAAAAAAGGGGGGGAGGGGCCACAGGAGGCAGAGTATTGAAGCCTTTTATTCTAGTGTCCCCAAAATTGACTATGGAAGTAAAATGTTTCTACATTTAAGAAATCTATATAAATTCGAAGAATTGCAATTTTCATAAAAGTCAAAATGAAATGTTCTGCATAGGACAAAAGATATGCCTAAGCAACATATCATATTTGCACAAGGCCACTGAATGTCATGGATATTAGTAACAAATGGAAAAGCTATGGCAGACTGAGCAAAGATTTCAGTTTGGTATTCCATAAGCCCAAGATTGTAAACTACTCTTACTATACAAAAGCTCTAATGACATACAAGGTTTTGTGTAGGAACTTTTGTGCTTCTGGTTGGCACATCATCTACTTTTTAATATGTGAAATTAATACAGACATTTGTGAGAGGTTGTGCAAAACTACTGTATTTACAAAAATGGCACAAAAGTGAATTCAACAGTCAATGCACATGCATACTTCATTCATATCTTGAACAAAAGGTATTCTAACTATAGAACTGAATATTAGCTTCAACTGCAGCTGTTAAGCACTAGGGTCACATAAGTTACACCAGAATGGGCAAATATTGCCCAAGTAAACGTCTATTGTTAAAGCTGAAAGAGGTTTAAGGCCATTCAAGTTCAAGCACAGAAATACACATCTTTTGAAGTCCCATCCATTTGAAATATGTGTCCTTTCTTCCAACTTGTGGTCTTAAACTTCTGTTTTATAAAATACAAAAGGAAAATACAGAAGAAACCAATACAATAGAGGTTATATTAAATAAGAGTAACTAGAAGCTACATATAATTAAGAGGAATTAAAGAAAGCTAAAACATTAAAATTGTAAAACTCGCTTAGTAGTTGTTAGGACCAGTCCTACACTAGCAGTTAGGTAATATATACAATTGTTTTCAAGTAGATTATTTTATGTTGCTCTAACATGTTCTTTAATCAGTGCACCTTAATTAAAATCTCTACACATGTATCTTCCCTTACAAGAGCAGCACACACTACCGCTACCTGCAAAGCTGTCACTCTCGAACGACTTAGTGAATGAAAGAAAATAAAAAGATAGGAAGTAACATATTAAGGGAAAATAATGGGAATTAGAAGATTCATGCAGTTCAGCTCTTTTAATCAGCCAGCCAGCTTGCTAGCAACAAGGGACGGTTTCCGTTGAGGAAGGTCCTGTGGAGTGGGAATGTGGTCACCAGTGACCTCTGTCTTATCCGGGGCTGCAGCAGCAGGAAGTTGCTTGTTCTTCATTTTTGCTTTAGCCATGTTGTAATCCCCGGAATCAAAATATTTTTGCTACGAGAAAGAAAAAAAAAAAAAAGAATTCAAATGAGATTTTAAAAGCTTTCACGTGCAGTTACACTGGTTTAAGATACAGATGTGACCCTACATTGTCAGTACAAACTAAGTTAGTCTAACAAAATTTAAACAAAAACATTAATTAGATGAAATAGCTATGTCTCTGTAGCGAATTCCAGCACAAGTCAACACTGAGAAGTCAGGCAAGAACCCCTTCTTCAGGCTTACTTGTATCATTCTGGTTTCAGTGTGGAACACTCATGATTGACACCAGTTACCTCATCAATCTATCCAGGAATGAATAAACAGTCCTGGACTTAAAAAGTGAAACGCAAACCTTTCATTTACTAATGAAAAAAGCAGGCTGATATTTTTGCTTAAATAATTTTGAAAATAAAAATACATTAATTCACCAACTTGCGTTTATGATGTATTACCCACTTTCAATCAAACTTTATAGTTATCAAAACTATTATTTATAGTTGCTGGTACTGTCATCTAGGACAAGCATTTCTGCAAGAATCTAAAGCATTTACTTGAACCAAAGCAGTTCACTAAAATCAAAATTAAAGTTAACATATATTATATAAATGTCTAACCACTATGCTGTACACCTTAACGTAATATAATACTAAGTGTCAACTCTAATTGAAAAATAAAAATAAAGATTAAAATATAAACACTAGGATAATGGAAGAAAAATCACTAGAAATTAGTTATCACTTAAAACGTACATATCCCTATCTTACAATTGTTTTTCATTTAAGACAGTAAGTACAACTATCACTCTTTCTAGTATGAGACATAACAACCATCACTAAAACAAATTGTGATGAAAGCTAAAGATCAATCTTAATATAGTAATCTACCTCAGCTATCTGTTCCAGAGTGAAAGATGAATTCCAACTTCTCCCTATCATGTTTAGCCTACCTTTACTGAATGTCTGCTATGCACGACTCCAAGACGAGAGACAGACAACAGTCAAGTAAATCAACTATCATGCTGTTTTAAGTACAAAAGTGGTTTGGGTGCTCAAAGGAGGGAAACCTAACCTCAGTCTAGGATAGGCAAAAAGGAATGATACAGGTATGAGGTGAAGGCCTGGACACAGGGTGAGGGAGAAAAAAATTCTGAGACTTCAAAGATACTTCATGTGGCAAATGAAATAGATGGGAACTCATAGTTTAGTATAAGATAGTTGAGTGGCCTGAGAAAAGGTTTCATTGGCTGCCACCCTCTAGGAACTATTCTTTGATAAGCCAGACCTGCTCTAAGTCCAAAGGGTGTAAAGTTAGAAATCGCTTTTCATATGTCACTATACATACATTGAGCAATAACAAGGAAAATTGGGCCAAGGCCTTCTAAGGTTTGCTGCAGCTTCATTTCTGCATGTTTTAACATGAGTGTAGTAAAAAAAAAAAAAAAAAAAAAATCTAAGAACTTCTTATGCACCATTTTATATCAGAGAGCTACTTCTGAAGTTTAGTAGCCTCAATAAGAGAACAAAGCAGCCTGCCAAACTGTTTACTGAGTCAAAAGCACAAATGAGATATTTACCACACAGTGCAAATTTTAGGCAGATTATCCTCCACATAATAAAGTCAGTTTCTAACGATACCTATTTTATAGTAAGCAAAAGTTCATTATAAGGAGCTCTCAACTATAGATTAGGCCACTCTTCTTGGAGAAAATAAAATAAATTTATTTTAGTGGCCATAGACAAAACTAAACTCAATGCTTAACATTTATAACTGCTCTAGGCAGAAGAGTGAACTAGACCAATGTTTCTCATATTAGGACAGATACAGCCTAGGAAGGCAATATTAGCTGCCTTCCAACAATTTTTTAAATTTTGTGTTTTTAGGTGAAAATCTAAAATTAAAATATATCTGGTTCATCCGGATGACAATCTTATAAAAGCCTCCTCCCACTCAAATTCAGGGGCCCCAGTTACATCAATATTTATAATTGTACTGACACTAAGTTATCACCTCAATAATGTTTAACTTTTAAGACCATGTTTCTTAAAATTGGATTCTCAGTTTTCTTGGGACTTCACAAACTCCACATATGAAAAAAACCATGGGCTAAAACTCTGCTTCTCAATATTCCTTCCCCCTTTAATAGTCTGTATAGTCACTATGCACACATCATATTATTAAGAGTCTAAAATAGGTGTCAATCCTTGACATATTATAGGAACATTTACAAGTACAGTGAAACAGAATGGGACCTAACATAAATAATATCTAACCAATCCTCTCAAATGAAGAAAAACTACTTAAGATACAGTGCAATTTGCCAGCTTGCTATTATGACAGAGGAAAACGAAAACTCAGGATCCTATGATTCAGACTTAATTTAAAAAAAAAAAAAAATCAAAACTCTTTTATCATAGAAGAAAATGATATCGTTGAATATTAAGACTTCATTTATCTAACATAAAAGTGTTTATTCATTGACATTCTGGTATAATAAACAATCCTTTAAGAGCTCCCTTCTCAAATTCTGTAACTTATTTCTTGATTCAGTGGTATTTTTTCTTTGCAACTATTTACACTTACGACACCAACTCCAAGATATATTTTTGACTCACCACAATTTATTTAACTATTTCTCTGCTCCTTAATAGTGGTGCTGCTTCTAATTATGGTTAAAGCTACAAAGATTATCTTCAAACTTAAATACTTTTCCTTATATTAAATTATACCCTTAGATTAATTCACAAATTATTCATTCGATGAATATGAACATTTTTATAAATCTTAATCCAAATCCCTTTCTACAGCAATAGCAATAATTTTAAATGCTACACACAGCAAAGAGCATATTAGCAACATCTGACTTCAACCTTACCAGTGGTTATTATTTTAAGTATTTTTCTCATTTAGTTGTATGTATACTATGGTATGACTGTTCTTATTTACATTTCACTGATTTCTATCATTGATAAATATTTTTCATGGTGTTTAGTATCTGTATTTCCTATTAAAATCCTTTATCTAGGGGCTCCTTAATGGGTTTTTTTTTGTACATTTGAAAGATCTCTTTATGAATTACAGACATTAACTATCATTTTTGTAATAATTTCCCCACTAAATTACTTCTCAAGGAACAGAGGTTTTACATTTTTATATATTTGGTATTATTTCAAAACA